AATAGCCTTCCTTCGAGATCGACCCGAGTCGAGTAGCTCGGTTATCCCTTGCCCATCAATTCTATATTAAACAAATGGCGCGAAATCTTATGCGATGACTTAATTGATAATGTACCAAACATATTATGCAATAAACCATGCCACAGAAAGGTGAAGATAGTTAATAAAATGCAAAGAATCTTATGCGATAGAAATGTGAAGTTAATTGATAAAGTGCAAAACATATTATGCAATAAATCATATAAAGACAGAAAGGCAAAGATAAACAATAAAGTGCGAAATAAATTATGAGATAAACAGTGCAATAAACAGGTGAAGATTATTAGACAAGTGTGAATTATTTATACGGTAAACTATGCGACAGACAGACGAAGATAACTAGACAAGTGTGAACTATTTATGCGAGTTTGAGGGCGGCATACATGCAAAGATAGTCGAGCATAGTGCCAAGTACATATGTGATAAACTTGCAACATAAATGCGACTTATGAGAAAGTTCGTAAAACATATGCGATGAACTATGTGACAATTAGACGAAGTTAATTGAGAAAATATAAGTATGTGATACACTACGCACAGAAAGCAGATAGCCAAGCAATTCTTGACATCAAGTCTTTCCCTCTAAGAAGGATAGAGTTTTCTGGTGTTTGGAAAAGAAAGAACATTTTTCTGTCTCTTCCACTTATAAATTCTTGATCAAGCAGAAAATCTTGCAGTTTGACATTCCAGGTAATAGCAGGAATCAAGCTGGCATTAAAATGCAACGGTCAGAACCTGGAATTTGAAAATCAAGAGAACCATCAAACATTACCTTTGGAAATGTATAACTGGCACCCTCCCAGTGAAAGCTAAGCTGGCTAAAAAAGGTATTGTTGTTGATGTCATCAGCCATGGATGTGGAGAAGCCCCTGAGACTATAGAGAACATATTCTTTCTTTGTTCCAGGGCTCACATGATGTGGAAGCTCAGTCAAGTAAGGTGGGAATGAGTAAAGACTGAAGGAGGTCTTTTTAGATCATTGTGGTGGCACCTATGCACTATAAACAAGACTGTGGTGGCTGAGGAGAGAATCCAACTCACAACCTACCTTCTATGATGGTTATGGAAATCTAGGAATCTCTGGTTGTTTGAAGATATTAAGATGCCAATCTAGATGGTGATTAGCAAAGCTCACCAATCTTGGTTGGAATTCAGTGAACTGAAGAAGCAAAAGTCTGAATTTTGAAGCTGAGAGGTCTTGTTGTTGCAGGTGTTCCTTTGTTGCTCTTTCTGCAGCTTTTGTTTTTGTCCAAATATTGTTTGTTTTGGTTTTTGTTTGGTCCTTGGAGTTGAATAGTGGGCTAGACATTATGCAGTGGTCTGTTGTTTTTCTTTGTTAGGTGTTTGAGTTGTTTTTAGGCCGTCTCGTTGCGTGTCCTCTCATCTTTGTCTTAGTTTGGTTGGTTATTGGGCTTTTTAGCCTCGATTTGTATTCGAACGGTTTTCTCTTTTGGTTTTATATATAAGTTCTCTATCGATCCGAAAAAAAAGATACGAATATTGAATCATAAAATCATTATATTTATTTCTTTATTAAAAATGTGTCAAACTGTGATCTGCATAACCATTTATTTTATTTTACTTATAAAGTAAGAGACTATTTTGGCAAACATTATATGCATAATTAATCTTTAATTTATTTGAAACTACATTTTGGTAAATTCGTAATTTTTAATTATTACTTGCATAGTTATTATTTAATACGAAAAAAAATTGAGTATGCAGAACTTCATTATGAGATAAATTATACAACATATATATGAACATAATTAAGCAAGTGCAAACATGTTATGTGATAAATTATGCGACAGATAGTCGATCAATATGAATAGATTTGGTAAAATAATTATTTCAGTATGCAACTGAACATAAGACATTTATGCGAGTAAAAAACGCAGAATAATTTTTTGAAAAAATCATTTAGTGTGTGTAAGAAACGGGGGTTGGTGGGTGCGGTCCCACGGACGTGAATCACACCAAAGCAGGGTAAGCCTAGATGGGCCTTAGTGGAGTTCCACCCTAAAACTAATTGGTGAAAGGAGAAGTAGCACACTAGACTTATAAATTAGGTTTATTTTCCTTGTATACACGATGTGGGACAAATCACAAGTGTATATTCTAACAGTGTGAGTAAACTAATAAATTCAAGATGCAATTACCATAAAAAAAATAAACAGACCGATTTTGACAATAAATATTTTATATCATAATATTTAACAATATTACATAATATAAAAAACATTACATATAAAAAAATTACATATTAAATAAAAATATAAGTCATAAAATCTTGCGGAACAGCATAAGTCGTTCGATCTCCCACAGAAGGAACGGAATATTCACATAATTTATCATCCAAAAAACCAACTTCAAACATGTCGACGCCGACTTTTTTTAAGACGATGGTGTCCCCTCGTACCACACCATTGCCGTGGAGGAAGGTACGCCATTCCCTCTGAAAAATAACGTTGCCCAGGCTAATAGTAGCGATGACTCTCTAGATCCTACTCCAACTGTTTTCGAACTGACACTCGATTATTTTCTTCATTTTTGAAAATATTCATCGGCGTTACAAGGTAGAACCTGCATATGAGTCTAACTTGCTGTAAGAATTTATTCTAACTAAATTATATACATAAATAAACAACTATTAAAATAAATTAATAATTTTGTAGCGTTATTGGGATGTGGAGGTGGACTATCACTACCATGAAATACATTGTCATGTTTATTTTTATTTTTTGTTAC